ATCTTTACGAAGTTTCGCATTTATAATATTTATTATTTATACAGTACTATCATACCTACATGTACAACAATTAGTCCTTTACGTTAAGGTTGTCTTGAAAAGATTGCTCTCAGCAATAAGACCGCCTTACTGTACTTATACAATTGTATCGTTGTGTTTGTTAGCACAAATGGGTTAAAGCTGAAAATCAGTGTTTTGTTTCTTGAACTTCCTTGAGCTTCGACATTTTTGTATTGCTGCAGATCACACATAATAACACAATTTTATAAATCTTATGTTGTTTTATGTATTATCTATTCTTATGAACATGTTGTATGTGATTAGTAACAAACAAATAAACGATATATCTATCTATCTATCTTGCTAATTTCCTATATTATATAATGCAAATAAAGTATACTCATTTATTCATTCATTTATTTATTTAACTCTTTATTGTATCTAATACACAAAAATATACAATGACAATAGAAAATTCAATTAAAATACATTGAGATAAAGTACAGATCAAATATAAACGTAAAGGTAGAAAAGATGGTCTTATCGCTACGGCAATCTCTTATCTTCTTTTTCTTTTTTTTTACCTTTGGTTGGTATTAATAGGATTTAAAATAAGTTTCAGATTACATGCGGTTGATGATGAAGTACGCGAATACTCATGCAAGTACTCGAGTACATACTCAACCGAGTCCTCAGACTCGAATCAGGATTCGATTTTTTTAATCGAATACCAAGAATAGCCTACTCAGTACAACATTATGCCAGACCCTTCTAAGGATCGGAGAGAAAGTCTGCAAGGGTTAAGAGAGCGTAACCTGAGCTAAGTTTGAACTAGGCAGGTGTGATATATAAACAAATTGTTTGAGTCTACTCTATATGGTCACAATTTATTTTGAAGTAACAAAGTCGGAAACTAACCTAACGAGTTTTACTACACGTTATCTAATATCAAATAAATATTTCTAGAAGGATATTAATTCGGAATAAATATTTAAATGCATCCCTTCCTTTCCCGTGGTTGTCGTAAGAATCGACTAAGGGAGGGCGAGGAAGGGCGAGGGGGTGAATGGGCAGCAGTGTCCTTCTTAAAAGATCTCTAAAGCCTAATTGCCAACCTGTTACCAACCCACCTGCCAAGCGTGGCAACTACTGGAAAAACACCCTAAGGGGGAGGCTTATGTTCAGCAGTGGACATTTAAAGGTTGATATGATGACGATGATTTAAATGCTAGAGTTTACGTGAAACTTTATCCGTGTTATCGGGATATGTCCATTGATCCTGATAAAAAGTAGTCTATGTCCTCTTCCATTTCATATAGTATTGTGTATTTATTATTTTATTTAGTACATGTATGCTAAATTTCATAGTGATTGGTTAAGTCGTTAAGGTACTATAAGGTAACAAACAAACTGGCTTTCAGATTTATAATATTAGTAAAGATTTGGTATAAATTATTCTATAAATTTACTTTTACATATTGTTACTTAATGTTATTGTATAAAAATCTCGTTTCGCCATGTCCATTCACTTTAACCTCTAATACCGCTTAAACGATTTTTATAACATTTTGTATGTGTTGTACTATTTGCTCCAATCCCTATTTTGATAAAAAAATCCGATAGGTGGCGGTAGGTGGCAAAATAACTAGGGGTGGGGGTAATATATTCTTTTTTATACAACTTAGAATGGCAAACAAGCTGACGGCCACCTGATGGAAAGTGGCAACCGTCGCCTATAGACATGAGCAGTACCATGGACATAACAGAGTATACTGTTTCGCCTATGATATATAGCAATATCTTTATATTTTAGGTACATTATCTATATATTATAGACTGGTCCAATAACGAATATGATAAAAGTCTGTTATCCAAAAAATAATATTGGATAACAGACTTTTAACATATTCTAAAATAAATATTCGACCAATTTGGGCGATATTGCAATGGGCGATGACCTTTTTTCAGCCATTAATATCCAGCGTAACCCAATATATAGATATCGTATCGATTACCGGATTACCCATGCCTAAAAATAACCTTCGTTGGACATAAAGTTTATGTTCTAGCTACATAAAAGTTATTTAGATTTTTCTTATAATAAAATCAATAGGTACTTAGTATTCTAGATAGGTTGCTGCCAAGCAAAGATACTGAACTAATGGCAGTGGAAACTAAAAATAGCATGAACGTACATAAATAGGCATTATTTTAATAGCGATTACGATGAACCTTGTACTCTGTCGCCGCTATCACCTCACCTTCGTTTGTTCCAAGAAAACTAGGCTTCCTTCCGTCACTGTATAGGAAGTAATAGTGGAGTATCAACCTTTACATGAATAATGGTCCCATACATCGGCCGGAAAGTGCATTAATTGTACTCTTTGCTCTATAGTAACTAGATCCATCATTTATTGGTGTAAAATAAACACTTTTGGATAATTTATTTCTAACCAACAATTTATTTCTAAACTTAACAAAGTCACTATCGGGTAGACAACTAGTAGAAATACCTAATAATTTTCTTTTTTTTTATACCACTGAGGCGGCAAACAAGCATACAGCCAACCTGATGGTATGCGGGTACCGTAGCCTATGAACGCCTGCAATGCCAGAGGTATTATGCGCGCGTTGCCGACCCTGAAGAAACCTCTTTACCCCCTTTTGAAGAACCCCATGCTGTAGTCTCTTGGGAAAACCTCAGCAGTATTACCTGAGTGTTTGTGTATATTTTATAAATTAACTGTCCATTGCTGAATATAGACCTCTCCACCACGTCTGCTACGCTTGGAGTTATTTTACCGTTAACATTTGGTGGTGTTTTAAGAGGGATGCTGCTGTCCATCTCTTGACCATTTAGTTCCCTAAGTCGTCTCTTACGACACCCACGGGAAAGGAAGGGTAGGTCTATTCTTTATATATGCCGGGATCATACTGACATATACGTATTATACATAGAAATAAACAAATAAATACAAGCAGACGTACTTATACTTAAATACAAAATAATGTTTGTATTCTGCGGAAATTGAATTTACGACCATTGGTAAATAAGGTGGCACGTTGAACCTCTACATCATTAGGGTCGTCAGATGTTACATAAATAACTTAACTCCATGTTTATAATTCACAATTTAAATGTTTCTATTAAGCTTAATATAGGACCAAAAATTGATACCCTAAATCAAGTAGTTCTGGCAAAGCACTTATAGAGTTTCTTTATAAATTTTTTCATGCAGCACTCAACAAGCACGTCACTTTACATTGAAATCTACAAGATATATCTTCCCTAGTGTGTATAAAATTACCAAGGCTTTTATTAGTAAGTAACTAAGTATTGTTCCACCATCCGACCGTGGAAAAATATATCATAATAATTAAATCGAATCACTCCTAAACATGAAGGCTCACATTAATCTTGTTTCTAAACGTCAGTTTAATGGAGTGTAGCATTGCAGGCAGACGGGAGCGGTTGCACTTGATGTTGGGAAATAGTTGCCTCTATTAGTTGGCCCCTAATTTAATATGAATTGTTCTACGCTGGAGCTCAACAGATGTAGTTGCAGTCAGCACAATGGTTTAGGCAGTTTTCCGTTCGCTGCTCTGATAGTCACGGTGTGCGCTCTCGCCACATGAGTAAGAATCCATACAGAGTCCAAACTAGATATAAGCGGCTCGCTGTAGGTAGAAGTTACCTCTATTTTCACTTGCGTAACGTCGTGTAAAAACTATATCCTACAAAAAATAGTTACATTAATTGTAATAAAAATAACACAAGATTAACATTTTGATACAAAACAAACAGAATCAATTTTCATAATAGGTTTTAAATTAATTAGATTTAAAAACTATTATCAAAAATGGTTCCAATATAATTATTATATCACGAAACTTATAAAAGGAGTGAGTTCAGAACTTCCTTTTAGAAGTCACTTAGAATTTAATATAATTACGTAATCAGTTTTGGGAGTACGTAATGTGGACCGCTTATTTATACAGTTTATGTAGCTTGAGCTCTGTAGGGATGCTTATTCATGAACCTCTACTGCGTGTAGTCCAAACATAGATTTTTGATACATATGGCCTATTGAACGTCAGTCTTCTTTGGTCAATGATCTCTTGCGTCGAGAAAAAAAAATAACAATTACAATAAAACCCTTTTATTTTCTATGTTTTATTTTTAACAAACTTTAGTTTATTTTATATTAAATATGACATGTACCGTCTACAAAACAGATTAAAATCATCTTGCGAAAATTTTATTTATAACGTTTATATACTTATAATACAAAACATGATAAAACATTATTAAAATTTTGTTCCAGAAACAAAAATAAACCGACTTCAATTGTGATAAAACCAGTTATTTTAATTAAAAAACTAAACTACTGAATCGGATTTAATAAAATTTCCATAATATTAATCTGTAGGTATATCCTTTCAGATAAAAAATAATTTTCCAGTGCGGTTCAGAACTGACGGATTTATGAGGTTACAAATATAAAAAAAAATACTTAAAATTACAAGTATATAAAAAACGAACTGAGAACCTTCTTTTTGAAGTAGGTTTTTTTTGATGGGTGAAAATGGCATGGTAACTCCGCCTGCGCTAACGGGATATGCTGGTGCTCCACCAGTGAAGGATGATAGATAAGAATGAAAATAGGCCAGTTAGCCCATCATGACGAATTCATCAGGAATTAATCATGATAGTTTCCAGGGAGAACCGCTAGGATGTCGACCTGGTTTTGGGTACATTGCTAACAATGGGTTTCTCAGTCTCCATTACTAACACTCCCTTTCCCCCTTTTGAAGTAGGTTGTAAATAATATGGGAATAAACCCTATCAATTACAAAAATAATTGTTGAAACTGATTTAGGATTGGCGATATAATCCTGTAACAAAGTAGCCCCAAATATAATCAGTCGATTTTAGAACCCTTTTTTTTTATTACATTTTAATTTGATTTTTTAAATAAAATCTTATTGCATTGTTCTAGCTGGTGGTGAACTTGGCCATTGTGATTTATACCGCGTTGGACTACACCCACGCCGAGGATGAGGAGCGACTCATCACGCCGGATCTGGAGCGGCTCATCACCGAGATGACTGGCTGTGATGATGCAGGTAAGCGTTGCACTGTACTGATTATTAATAGTAACAATAAAATATGTAATATTTATTTGATAATTTCTATAGAACAATGGAAAACACGGTCCAGTGCGTAAATGAGGTCCTATGTTCGAGACTAACTAGGCCAATTTAGGAAATGAACTCTTCTGAATTGTGTCGGGTCTGAATGTTCTGGAATATATTTTCGGAGGATTGTTGGCTAGTTCTTCATAACACGCCCTGTGAACTAGCAATCGCAGCTTGAGGCTCCAGCGATTTGTGTGTTTGTGTGGTTATAATAATACCGTGCCCTACATTCCCTCTTTTGTCTCTCTCATTTCGGGTATCCCGTTGCCTGTATTTTGATGACCGATCCTCGCTATTTGTGGTGACGATCGGTCTTCAGATATGTATGCATACCTAACAGCAAAAAGCTGGGGAGAAAGGGATAGTTAGTAATTGGATCTAATTTCCCCATTACTAACAATCCCTTTCTCCGGACCTACATTCATCGTCACCTACAAACCTCACTGGTGGGAGCCAGTGTATACTGATAGCGTAGGCGGGGTTACCATTTCTCATCCTTCAACCATTAAACTCCTATAGTCACCTCTTACGACACCCATCGTAAAAGAAGTGATAGTCCATTCTATGTCAGGACTACACGGTATTACATTACAGATTATACTGTTACAATTTGTCACAAAACTAATCAGGAGCACTGCATACAGCGCGTTGGCCGACTGCGTGACAAAACAAAAAGGTGGCAAAGGTGAAAGTTGAGAACCACTGGAGAAAACTAAATTGCAACTAGTTCACTTATAAAGACTCTATTGTGTACACTTTATCATAATAGATATTGAGTAACAAGATGATTATGTACAACTACGACTATAAATGAAATACCAGAGGGAGACTGTAGAAAAGTCGTTTGCTTGAGTACCTCTGTCCCATTCGTGTTTTAACCGTAAAGCAGTTGTGTTTGCATGATTGTGTTTCGGTTTGAAGGGTGGGATACGGCGTCAATATACAGGGTACAGAGGAATAACACCTGAATCCTCAGGAATGGCAACGCATGGGGGGTGTCATGGGCGAAACAGTTTATATACTCTGTTATGTCCATGGTACTGCTCATGTCTATAGATGACGGTTACCACTTTCCATTAGGTGGGCCGTCAGCTTGTTTGCCATTTTAAGTTGTATAAAAAAAAAAAATAGGACTTCGAACGATTTTTTTTAAAGCGATACCCGATTGATCATTATGTATATACTCGTACATGGATATGACTTTCATTTTTCTTTTATTTTTCATATTTTCAACCGACTTTGAAAAGGTTGTTGTTGTTGTGGGTGATCATGGGCGGCGGTAGTCACTTACCATCAGGTGAGCCGCATGCTCGTTTGCCCCCTGTGTTGTAAAAAAAAAAAAGGAAGTTCTCAATTCGCTTGTATTTTTTTATATTTGTTACCTCATAACTCAGTCAGTTGTAAACCAATTTGGATTTTTATTTTTATATAAAAGGATATACTTAGAGATTGATCCTATTGAAATTTTATCAAAATCAGTTCAGTAGTTTAGTTTTTAAATCAAATTAATTAGTTTTGTCACAATTGAAGTCGGTTTTTTGTGGGTCACAATCTTTAATTAAGTAACCCATATTTTTAATATATAAAATGGAACGTAACAAAAAGATTAATCCTAAATAAAGCCATTCCCTGTGTTTCTAAATACATATAAGTACATAAAAACAGTCAAGTACGTTTTATTATATTGAGAATATTAGCGTTATAATAAAAAAAGTTAAATATTAAATTATTATTATTTAATTTTATTTTATTATGAAATAAAAATAAAACGTAAATAGCTTATTAAGTAAATAGATTATGAAATAAAAATAAAACGTAAATAGCTTTTCTCATGACTGTGAGTCCCTGGTAAGGTACATAGTTAGAAGCTTTTCTTGACTGCTATTGTCATTACCTACTTGTATTTTGATCGAAAATTTTAATTGGTACAAAATTAAAGAGTGTGTGAATCGGGTTAGTATATCGCTAACTTACGATTACGATGCTCTCAGAATGATTGTTTTGCTATTAAACTAAATAAACTAAATTTTTACTAAATTAAATTTAAACTAAATTGAAAAATAAATTTATTATAAATCTACCATGGTATATCACTAGATGACGATTACAATGTTCTCATTTTAATATATTTTGCTATTAAACAAAATTTTTACTAAATTAAATTTAAACTTAATTGAAAAATAACTTCATTATGTGTACCATATTTCTTGATGTTAACCTGTACTTATGGTATAAACCAACAAATTAATATAAATTGTTACTATTTGACATACTTCGAACACAATAGTTATATTGCTGCAGCCTTTATTCTGCCTCGTTTACGCATGAATTTCGTGTTACGAACAATTTGTTTTGGATAAGCCCATTCGAGACGAGCCATATTTTTTACCAATAAATAGAAATGTTATTTGGCTCATGCTGTGTTGGGATGTTGCGTCGTGCATAGGAATATTTTGTTTGTTCTTTACCTTTATTACGATCCCCGTTATGTCTTTATTAACTTAGAGCAGTGGTTCTCAAAGTTATGAAAGTCAGATTCCATTTTTAATTTACCTTAACAATCTATTAGGGCCCTATATATTGGTTTCTAACAGAGGCTGATTTGCCATGTTTTTTTTTGTTTGGGTATAAAGTTTTATTTAGAATTTTCTTTCTTCTGAAATGCTGTATTCATACCCAAATTTTCAATTTTAATTTTTTAATACCTGTAATTAATTCATGCGCTTAACCATACAGATTGGATTTTTGCGTCCCCACTTTGAAAACCTTTGATGTAGTGGTACGTGGAGCTACACGAGTGATTGTTAAATCATTGTAATGTAATGGTTTCGGTAATGTGAACACAAACTTTGATACTATTTTATATTCATATTAGTTTAGTTATTTGTTTCTTTACATTTTGAAGGTTTTGAAGTTCAAAGGCTGATCATAAATTATAATTAGGCTGAATTTCCAGTGATCAAAACTCAATCCTAAATATAGAATATTTTAGGGTTCATTTTCGGTCTCTGGTTGATATATTGTTTTTAATTGTACACGGAGATAATTTTATCAATTGCAAAAAGAAGTTTAAAATCGTTACTTAAGATTTCGAAAATATAGCATAATTTAAAACAAAAATTTATGGCCTCTTTCTCTTTATGGCAGCCGCTTAATTTGGAACAGACCCGATGAGCTACGTCTTTTTATTTACAGACTAGATTCCCAGGTGTTCAATTCGGTATTACCGAACTTTTCGGTATTTCAGCCCCAGTTCAGGGTTATATCAAAAATATGTAAGAGCAGAAGAAGTATGGGTGGTTCGGTAAATTAACTAATGAATAAAGCATGGGCGGCGGCAAACGTTTTTTTATCTAACAATTTTATTGTATAAAATTATTAGAGAATATAAAAAAATTCAGAAACCTTTGCTGCAAAGCTGTAAGCGATATAATTATATTATTATATTAACCATTAACTATCCAATGCTGAACATAGGCCTCTTCCATATGGAGGGGTTTTGCCAGTAGTTGCCATGCTTGGCAGGTGGATTGGTAGTCGCAATTAGGCTTTGGTGACGATGAAAGCAAAAATAATAAATATAAACTATAATTCGTTTCATTATGTACGTATCTATATTTACTTCACAATGTAAGTTTTAATAAAAGTGAATCCTGTCAAAAAAATTTCATATGGACTGGATTATAGTCCAGTTTGGTATTTTCATGTACGTATATTATATATGGCAAACGTGATTGTAAATAAGTTCTAAATTACAATGGTGAGAAGTTTCCTCTATTTACATATTCACATCGCATTCCAGCGCACTGTTCCGTTCATTCTATTTTTTTTTTTTTATATTCAATTTATCCAACACTATACGATCTTACTGTTAGCCCTAATTCACATAATAAAAATGCAAAACCAATTGTATATACCAATTGTAGATTTAATACGCATTTTACAGCTGCAATTTCTTTTACTACAGAGTAGTGAAATAAAAAATTAAGTGTGTTAAGATTTTGATGCACTATCCGTTATAGAAATAAAAAAATTGTGACACAGTTCGCAAGATAGTGTAAACAAGTAGATATATTATATATTGTGAAATATAAACGAATTCAATCGTGAACGAATCGAAAAATGACAACTACGAGTATAAGCACCTATGGAGTCAGGCTTGCGCTCGCCTCACATCGGCTTACGATTAAGAGTTACGAATTGATCCCAAAACTAGTCAGGCTTTTTCAGTCTAATTACATGTAGATAAAACCAGTGGTTATTAAATTAAAAGTCGATTGTTTAGGTACCTCTATCCCATTCGTGTTTCAACCGTGATGCTGTTGTGTTTGCATGGCTGTGTTTCGGTTTGAAGGGTGGGTAATGGCGTGAATTTACTGGGTATAGAGGAATAACACCTGAGTTCTCAGGAATGGCAACGCATGGGGGGGGGGATCATGGGCGAAACAGTATACTCTGTTATATCCATGGTACTGCTCATGTATATAGGCGACGGTTACCACTTTCCATCAGGTGTGCCGTCAGCTTGTTTGCCATTCTAGGTAGTATAAAAAAATTTTTAAATGTAATGTATTCTTACGAAACTTTTAACAATAAAATTTAATAAAGTTCTCACAAATACACTCTTTTAATTAAATTAGTAACAAATCGAAACATTTAATCAATTAATCGAATGTCTGTTTGTACGACTATTGAATATCAATAGTCTTTCGGTAAGGTCAATTACTCGTATTTGTTTGTTGCTCATGAAGTCCTATTAAAAAAAAAAAAAAAAAACTATATTTATTTGTATGTAACATCGTATCTCTCAAACGGATTAACCGATTTTTATTTAGTTATTTTTTTTCTTTAAAAGGTAACTTGATCGAGAGTATTTTCTGTGATTTTTTTCCTTTATTCCTTGAATGTGCTATACAATTTCACATTTA